AAATAAAAACACAAAGATATGTAAATTTCATTTTTCAGAACATCTAAAATTGGAAACCAAAAGCATATTTACCTTAAACATATTTAGTAAGATATTGCACACAATTGGCATGGAAATAGGATATATTCTTTGTAGTTATACTTTACATTTTCTCTTCATTAGAAGTGAAGTTCACATGCTTATTTATGTAAATAACATAGACTATTTTTTTCCTCCGAGGCAGTGGGATTTGTATTAAGAGATCCAGATTTAAATTATGTTTTTACCACATGCTGTGTGATCATAAATTTAACTGCCTTGGAGTCCATGTTTATGTGAAAGTGGTAATAACAATACTAACCTCAAAGTGTTTATGTAAGGATTAAGATCATGGAAATTCAAGTACCTAGTACTAAAAAAGATTAGTTGGTTCTTAATCTTAGATACAGACATTTTCTAGTAGATTTCTTATAACAGTCAGGGCAGGGGAAAACCATCAGTGAGTCACTGGGAGACAGAACATATTAGTATGCATTATTCTGAAACTACATATTGTTTTGTGGTCCCAAGCAGTTCAAATCATACCCATGGCTCTAAACTTCCTGACATTAATGCCCAGATTCATTTAAATGTCCATTACATGTAAGTTACCTTAGTTATTTTTATGCTAAAAATATTATTTAATGTCCAGCTGGCCTGGCTCAGTGGTTGAGCATCGACCTATGAACCAGTAAGTCAGGGTTCAATTCCCAGTCAAGGAAAAATAATATAAATATAATATATATTTAAAAATATTATTTGGTTATTAGTAAGAATAAAAACCCAGTTTATCTCATAGCCCAGTGATCTTTGTTTTGCCTTGTTCCTAGGTTCTTTGTATGAGGTGGGCATGTGGCAATATATGTGTCATTACACACATATTTGCAATTTTATCTAATATGTACACTATTTTATTAAAAAAGCTTAAAGTATGTTTTTATTGATTTCAGAGTGAGAAAGGGAGAGAAACAGAGAGATAAAAATATCACTGATGAGAGAGAATCATTGATTGGCTGCCTCCTGCACACCCCACAGTGGGGATCAAGCCCCCAACCCAGGTATACGTCCTGACTGGGAATTGAAGCATGATCCTCTGGTTTAGGGGGTTGACGCTCAACCACTGAGTCACACCTGCCAAGCTAACATGTACTCTTTTACATATCATCCTCCTCCTATGCTATGCACTCTCCTTACCCCTTTTAATTTTATCAAAGAGATATACTTGTAGAGGATGTTATACATTGCTACACATGTGCTAAAGGATAAAAATGATTTTCAAACTTAGTACAGAATGCAATTAGTTTTTATAGAAGACAGTATGTACCTGCCAAGTGGGTACTTAGAAAATGAAATTGTTTTTGATTGTGTGAAACTGCTTGAAAATGTGATTCTCCAAAGCTTTCTTTTTCTTGTGGCAAAAAATCAGGGATATGCGAATTCATTATAATTAATGCACATGAGGCTGGTCCTTTAAAAAACAAAACAAAACAAAAAAACCCACCAAAATACCAAAACTTAAAAGCCCCAAATTTCTTTGGACCAAGAACAGTTTTAAGACCTCTGTATGCCCTGGATTTCAGATTGGAAGTGCCTGCTCGTGGTATCTCCGAGTAAAGGAATCACCACCTGCACAAGTCCTTGTGACACACCTTTTTGGGACAGGGGAAATTTTCCTCTGCTACCCCGACTCACTCAGGACTGCAATATAATGAGTTCACATTATAGGAAGAAACTCTAAACAGAAAGCACTGGTTTGTTCTTATTGAATGTCAGGTGCAAAATATCCACAATAGGACGTTGTTAGGGACCTGTTGTATAACAGCTTTTGGGTTTGCTAAAATGCTGCACTCAGATTTCTGATTCCCAGATATAATTTGGTTTGTCATCTCTTTTGGCTCTTGTCCTTGTTTTTTTTTTTTTTTTTTTTTTTTTTTTTTTTTTTTTTTTTTTTTTTTTGAATTGGGTGGCATGTTTTTGGAAAAGGCTAATTAAAACAGTGAGCTTCCAAAACAAAGTTAGTTATTTACTTGATAGTGTAGGTGATGATTTAGAGGAAAAGCCAGGTCTGATCATTTTGTCTGTTTATGTGGCAAGGATGCCTAATTTACGGATTTGCCTGAGATAGGACAGTTGGAGCAGTAGCTTGCGGGAGAGCAAGGTTATCAGAACTGCCACTCTGGCTACTTCACCTTATTTAATCCCCTCTCAACTCTGATTCTGACGGGGACACCCTTTGATTAAGATAACTAACTGGTTTATTTAGAGCAGTGATTCTCAAACTTTAGCATGTTTCAGAACCACTTCCAAGGTTTGTTAGTGCCCACGATGCAAAGCCCCATACCCAGAGTTTTGATATGGTTGATTTGGGGTGAGTCCCAGGAGTTTGCGTTTCTAACAAGTTCTCATGTAGAGCTGAATGCTGTTGGTCTGGGGCCACAGGTTGGGCATTGGGAAGCATTTGTCTCTGGTTCAAGGTGTTAGGGTGTAAGGGTGAGAAATTTGTTAAGGAGGGAGGAGGGAAAAGATTGAAGAATGCTAATCATCTCACTTAGGGCTTACCTAAAAGTGTTGACTTTGAATTCTTCTAGTGTATTACAAAGTTAAACATTAGGGAACATTCCAAATTTTACTTTTAAATAGTACTTTTATTAATAAGAAAAGTTAAGATTAGGAGGGACAATAGAGTTGATTATTTCTTAACACTGGCCTCCTTTTCCCCACCTGGTTCCTTCTTCTTCCTTGGACCTGTGCCTCTTCTTTCTCCATATAATACAAATGTAGATAGCTGTCTTTCAGAAACGAGAAATGATGAGACAGTAGATGAGGTTTCTTGGAAAAGTGGTGACATCAATTAAGATTACCATCATAATAAAGACCTAATTCATTTGGCTTCTACATATACAGATTTTGCAGCAGTGAGGGCAGTTCTTGGGTTGAAATGTATCTTTGCAGTATTTCCAAAGCAAATCAGTGAGTGAGTTTAGGATATTGCCCAGGAAATTTAAATTACTTAATGAAAGGCTGCTTTCAATTTATTTCAGCACTTCCACTTAATACGATTGCTTTATAATTAGAAATTAGTCTTATCTAATCGCTTACCTAAGCTACTTTTAACTTATAATTAGTATTTCTAAGGCTTCCTTGACATAGGAGTATAGAATTTAAATTTCTTTACTTAGGTAGACTTTTCATCCATGTACTTCAAATAACTGGTTTTATTTTTTAAGTATAAAGTGCAAAATTATATCTTCTTCTTAACCTGTGCATTTCAAACCCAACATTACCTTGGGGCATTCATGTTGGTACCTGGTATTGCTTGTATCCAGTGGTGTGCGTGCAGTTCAAGAAGAAAATGTGGCCTTCGAAGTTCTTTTCATATTACCCATAAACATTTTTCCAGCTTTTACTTTCCTTTGAAAAATGCTTTGTGCTCAGATTTTCCTAGAATAAAATAACCCACCAGGTAAAGGCCTTCAGAGACCTAGGACATGCTTACTCAATGAAATGTAATGGAGCAGAAAGCATCCTGTCAGCCCCAGAAAATTATGATTTCCCTGATCTAGTAGTTAAAGACAGTTATATAATTTAAAGAGCTGCTGGTATATACACATTAAATTATTAGGAGTAAATTGCAATCTTTTGTAAAATTCTTTGTTGAACTTTTGATCAGAAGGAATGAAAGTCTGTAATAAATAATTTTTTTGGAAGCAAATGTGAAGCTGTGTTGGAACTTCTGTGCTTTTCCCCCCAACCCTTGTCCTCTTGGTGTGACGACCGGCCTGAGTCAGACCATTGAGGATTAAGGATGAATGCATTACTCAGCACCCTGCAGGAGTGGGTCAAGCACCCTGGCTTTGAAAAGTTACTGTTTTGCTTAGTAAGCCTAGAGATTTCAGGTCAACTGCAGAATGGAAGCTCAGTACTGTGTTGATGAACACAGTCTACTTGAAAATGGTCTCTCACTCTTCCAGACGTCCTTCCTCTGTGTGCTTGTGTACCAGTCTCCAAAATCACTGACTGGATTGCCAGTGGACGTTACCTACGACAGAGCTTGGTTCCCTTGAAGCATTCCTGGTGGAACCATCCTTTGATTTGAATAAAGAGCTTGGCATGTTAAGGGGGAAGAAGGGACACATTTATTTTAGTCTGGCAAAATGGGAATGCAGGAACTAAGGGGAGCCTGTGATAACACTATTTTGAGGCAAAGAATGGGGATTCTGGATCAGATGCCTACTAAGGAGAAGCATTCTTTTAAAAATATATATATATATATTTATTGATTTTAGAGAGGAAGAGAGAGGGAGAGAGAAATAGAAACATCAATGATGAAAGAGAATCATTGATTGGCTGCCTCCTGCACGCCCCCTACTAGGGATTGAGCCTGCAACCCGGGCATGTGCCCTTGTCTGGAATCGAACCCAGGACCCTGCAGTCTGTAGGCTGACACTCTGTTCACTGAGCCAAACCATCTAGGGCAGGATAAATATTTTGATGAAAATGTTAGTTAGAGAAAGGAACACAGATAGCTTTTGGTGTTGATTGGAAAGAGGGGTGTCCTAGGAAGGACTGCAGAGGCCTGGGAGAGAAGACAGTAGGCCTGAACCTGGGGCCAGCTCTGCTGACAGGAGAAAGAGCCTGGCTCTGTGGGGGAGAGGAAAAGGAAAGGCACCTGATAGGTGAGGATGTGCGTGAAAGGGCTGGGACAAAAACCAAACCAGGAGTACATTTGTTTTTATGACTTTTGTTTTTGGTGTTTCTTTCGAAGTGTAACTTATCTTAGAATAGAGACTGGCAGTCAGACTTCAACAAGTTATGGAAGATTTTTCACACTTGCCCTTTAACCGTGTCTGCGCTCCAGCGTTTATCGTAGCTAAAGCATCACCATGCCCATCGTCATCTACCAGTGTTGATGAAACATACAACCAGAGTCTCTGTGCTTTTGAGAAGAAGTCTTTAATTAGGATTTGCTTTTGTTTTTCCAGGTAGCCCAGCCCTGACCCATAGGAATCTGACTTCTGCCAGTCTGAATGACATTTCTGATAAACCTGAGAAGGACCAGGTAAGCAAAGAATTCTTGCTCCTTTGAAATGTAAGACTAAGTGCCTATCTGGAAGACACTGGGAAAAGATGAGAAGTGATAGTTCCCTGACTGAAAAGAACCAATATGTATAGATGGGGTTTTTGTACTTTTTCTGTGGGGAGAGGAGGCTTTCTGTGAAAGGGATTTGGACTTCAGAACCCAAGAATGAAAGTCATGATTTCAGCCTTTGTAGATGTAGTCTCTAGGGCACTTTATTGTAACTATAGTTATATTAGCTTTAAAATAGTATAATAATCCCTACCTCAAGGTTATTGTGAGGATCAAATGAAACACTTAATGAAAAAAATGCGTGGATTAAAAAAAAGAACTAACATTCTGGTGATTGTTTACTCGAGTATATTTTTGGCAAAGGTAATGTAGTTTTGTTAGCTATAGATTTGTTTATTAAAATACATAGTAGGTAGACTATTTAAAATGTAGAACAATTAGGGTTTGAGTCTCAATTTTTTTTCTTTAAAAAATATGGTAGAAACTGGGCCATTTTCCAGTTAGGAGAATATCCCAGCGGATAATAGAAAATGGAGAGCAGATGTAATTTTGCATTGTGCAATAAAAACCAAAACCAGCTGTGTGGCCTAAGTGGGTGAAATTTTTACCTAGATAAATAAATCTGAATTGTACATTTATTCTTTATGAGGATGCATCTCTTTAACTAGCAACATTTGTTAAAAGTATAGGAAAGATGGAATTCATGTTTTTTCTTGTACATGAACATATCCAAAATAGCTTTTGGATTTTTCCTTCTCCTTCTCACCAGCAGCACCCTAACAGGGTCATTATCACCTCAGACTGTGTTGCTAGAAAAGTCTTTGGAGCTAATTCCTTGTCTCCATTTTCTCACAATTTAACACACTTCGTAAAATATTGCCCTTCCATTTCTCCCTTGGATTAAAAGCTTGTAATGGCTTCCTATAAAGTTGAGTTCAGAATTGCCTGTATGACTTTTAAGATGCTCTGAAATCTCATGTTATCCTTCTTATCTTAATTTATTTTTGTTCCCTAGAAGAGGGATGTTTTGCTTTGGCCAGGCCTAATTTCCTCCCTCTTTAAACTGAGATTCATTCTTGACTCCTAGTGCTACTCCTCCTTCTAATGCTAATGTGGATAGCTCTCCTCCCCTCTCTTTCCTGCCTTTTAAAATGATGGGGAGAAGATCATTAAATATGGAATACAGAAACAGAAGAGGGAAAACTCAGCCCAGTAAGACTTATTGAGGATTTCCCTCAACATTATTTCGCACATCTTGATTCCACTCAGTATTTATCAAACAACATCTATATATATAAAAGCCTAACATGCTACGTGTGTGACCATTGGTCAACCACTCTACCAGTGGCTGTGATGTGCACTGACCATCAGGGGCAGATACTCTAACTGGTAGGTTAGCTTTCTGCTGGAGTCCAGCCGATTGGGACTGGGCAAGATGGGCCAGACACACCTTGGAGCTAACCTTCTGCTGTCCCTCCCTGGTCTCTAAAATATTTTTTCTAATTAATTTCCTTTCAATGTGCACTAATTCCTGCACCAGGCCTCTAGTTTTTGAAACAATAGTTAATATTTATTGAGCATTTATTATTGGCCAGGCCCTAACTAAGAATTTATGCATGCCCATTTCATAAGGTTGGTACAAATGAGGAGATTTAGACTTAGAAAGATGAAATACATTGTTATAAATTGTGATTTTTCACTAAAGAAGCAACAGGAAGTCTAAAAAAATACCACTAGAAAAGTACTTGGCTAAATAAACCATGGCTACTGTTTACATTGTAGACTTTCAAGGGCCATTAGATTGAAAAGAAAAAAATAAATAAAAATATGGGGAACTAACATAGATCCACAGTTCTTATATATCATATGTGATTTTTTTTTCTTTTACAAGTTTATCAGATATGAATTCAATAGCATAAACTTGTTCTGGCTCTTGATTTTGGTTCTTGTTCATACTGTATGGCAATCGAAGTAGAGAAGCCCTAAATATATTTCTGATTCTGTGGGGAAACCGAGAGGAACAGTAGCAGATTAGCTATGTGATTGTGATCCAGCTATGAGATGGTGATTGATAAGAATTGTGATACCTTCTTCATTCATTCCTTTAACTAATATTTGATTAAACAATTATGCTATGCCAGCCTCTATGTAAGGTATGAAGCAACACTTATGAGGTTTGCCAGGGGTCTTGATTCTAGATGAGGCAAAGTTAGGTATATCTGATTGATATACTCTTTGAGGAAGACTTCTTTAATTAAGGCAGTTCTTCTCTGGAAATTTGTCAATAAGCAGCTGATAAGTGCTGAGAGAAATTTCTTACCTTCTTGGGTCTCTTCTTATCTGGGCATGTGCAGAAGAAATTCAGTGGCTTAAGAGGTGTCTTGCACAAGATTCTGTATTAGAAGAAATAGGCTGGACATTATGTTTCTGGGTTGTTGATTTTACTATACAACCTGTGTGATGTTGTCCTTGAAAACAGAATCTTTGCTATCACTAGCATTTCATATTTATGAAGATTCAGAGGAAGATAAAACCAGGAAGATTTAATTCAGGAGTTTAGTTCTTTTTGTTTTCAAAGCCTGAAAATGAAGTTGATGAGGATATCATTATAAGAGCAATTGTCTGTCTCCATTTATCTAATATAACAGCTATAGTTAATGCAACAAGCCTTTTATCCTGCCTCCAAAGAGGAAGAATAGCTGTTCTTTGCTTCCCACGAAAGAATTTGAAGAGAGGTTTTGTGACTGACCCATGATCTGTCTATGACCCAAGGTAGACTAGGAATTCCTGTTTCTATTACCACTATTTTAGTAACTTCAACTATAAAGGGTGCTAAGAATAAAATGGGCTTGCAAAAAAGATGAAGTTATTGAAAAACAAAAACAAAAACAAAATACAAAAGCACAACAAGCCTGGGCTTTTATTATATTGAACCTGCTTTTTTCTTTCTCTGAGTAGGAAAAAAGGTTGCCAGGCTCAAATTTGTTTTGAAAAAGCTTTTATAATTAATTAGCCAGTGTCCTGGAAATGATCTTGGCAGTAAAGTCAAACTTGTTCTGTAGGCTTTTCCAAGTTGGCCCCAAAAACTTTCATCCCACTGGAACTAACGTTTCTGATTGACTGATTGTTCTGCCTGGATACCATTTGAACAGTTGCGATGGTGCCTCCTGACTTCCTGGAGCTATGCAACTTCTCAGTAGCACAAAAAAATGGGTTTAATGTTCAGAGTTACCAACAGCAGCCGAATTTCTCATTCTGTCAGCTACATCGTGACAGAATTTGAGGGCATGTTTTTTATGAGATTCTGTTTTGGGAAAAACAGAAGAAACAAATCTGTGGACTGTACTTTTTCTCTCTGTCTCTGCCAAGCCTGTGTGCTGATGATTTCAGTAGCGCTGGCCTGCGGAGAAATGGCTTAAAATAGTTAACAGCAGAAGAAGACCGTAGCCAGCATTTAGGTGATTCAATGCTTCAGCAATATTCCAACTTGGATGTTCTATTTATTAAGCAGAAAAACACCTGGGAGAAGTAGATTAAAAAAATACATCTGGAACTCATTTACTTGTAAATCTACATAAATAATCTCTTCTATTTTGTTGCTATGGATGATTTTTTTTCTTCCATTATCCAGTTATCTTCTTCAGTCACCTTATATTGATTAGTTTTTCCTTCCCCTTATATTCATTTTCAGTTCTTTTAAAGGCTTACAAGTGCCTGGCCGGTGTGGTTCAGTGATTGGGTATGGATCTATGAACCAGACGGTCAGGATTTGATTCTCAATCAGGGCATATTCCTAGGTAGAGGGCATGCAGGAGGCAGCAGATCAATGATTCTCTCTCATCACAGATGTCTCTCTCTCTCTCTCTCTCTCTCTCTCTCTCTCTCTCTCTCTCTCTCTCTCTCTCTCTCTCTCTCTCTCTCTCTCTCTCTTTCTCTCCCTCCCTTATCCTTCCTCTCTGAAATCAATAAAAATATATTTAAAAGATGTGCAAGTGTGGTGGGTGCTTATCAAACATAATGGGTTTCGTTCTCATTTTCATATGGGTATGGAATTAGCTGTGAGAATAAGAAAATCCTTCTCATCATGTTACCGCTTAGCCTTAACTCTCTTGGTGGAAGTGCTGTGCTCAGTGTACAGTGACTTTAAAAGGGCTTGACATTTCTTTTACTGGGTTTATCAATAATGCAGTAACATCTCACAATTACACCACCAACCTTAAGTGAAATTGCAGTCTGTAGATTGCAGCAGATGTAGTAGCTGTAGAAATGCCTTACAGATTTGCAGGGAGAGATTTAGGGCTCAGACCCTTGGAACTTTTTGTCTGGTTATCACTTCCATGATACTTATTACTTAGATAGCTTTTTTGAGATCCTATCCATAGGTCTTCTGGTGGAATTTGGCCCAAGGTTAATTTCTAAAGTGTATTATAATCATTTTTAGCCCTATCTATTGCCTATTATTTTTAAGTATACTTGGCTGACTTGATTCTATTTTTGAAATCTTAGTCTTTTGCAGAAATAGAGCTGAATGTAAATATTTTGTCAGAAAGTTAGAAGATGAAACCATAAAGCCATGTATAAGTTTGAGACTGCTAAGCCACAACTGCCTGAAAATGAAAATTAGAAACATTTTGTGATTAACAACCACGAATCCTTTTCTGACACATATGTATGTAGGAGCAAGTCAGCTACATTCACCTGAGATGACTTCTCATCATTTTGAAGATTCTCATTCTAAGGTTCACATAAAGCTTCCCTTGGCATGAATAACTATTTTATTTGTAAAAATATTTCTTTATTGTTGAAAGTATTACAGATGTCTCCTTTTTTACCCATTGACCTCCTTCACCCCACATCCCCAACTATCCTGGCCTTCACCACATTACTGTCTGTGTCCATGGTTTATACATATATGCATAGAAGTTCTTTGGTTAATCTTTTCCCACCCACTCACCTGCACTTAAATTTGT